GACCTATTTGAATTTAGTCATTCTAAGCATTTATGACTAGGTAAAATCTTCGGAAATACGGGAAGAAATGATCTTTAATCCTTTTGAACTGTTTAAAAAGGGAAGTGATAAGACAGTTTTTTTTTTCCTAATGGAAATTATTGAAAAAAATTTATTAATCCTGTATGGTTAGAGATGAAAAATATGTTGCTTATGTAATTGTTAATAAATTGATTTAACAGGACTATGGTTAAAGTATTTTGTACTTAATTTTGTAGTTTTCCTTAGGAAATAAATGAAGTGCATGTTATATTTAGATTTGTACTTTCAAGCCAAAATGAAGATGAAAAAAGAAAATATATAAAATAAATTGCAAGGATTGTTTAAAAACCTTAATAAATGATATTTGAATTTGTAAGCTTCAAAGGGCAATTAATTCTGAAATATGTTTTTTTCAACTGCAATGGATGTTTAAAAATGACTATGAGTAGGTAGATATTTGGTGATGTCTTTAAATAACAAAATATCTTCCCACTAATACTCATTACATTACAAATAATATAAATAAAAGTCGTTTTAACTTCAACAATATATATATATATATATATATAACAAGTCTGAAAGGGTACAACATCACCAAGAAATAATATAATCATGAACAAATGTTAGATATTTCGGATAACTAATATCCTTCTTCAGTAAGATGTTAAAATAGAACACGACAAATTTATACTATCATGTTTGTGTTATATGAGTATGTCCTGCTGAGTACTTGATCGACACACGGAATTAGAGTTTTAACGCACAAGCTCAAAAACAATCAGGAATACATATAGCACTGCAAAGGTACATTTTCTGATTCTGAGACAATCCGAGTTTGTTCTCTCTGCTAAATGCAACGAACGTGTCGGTTAAGGAACAAAGACGCAACTTTGGTTTGACCAAGATTTGGATCAAACTCATGACCTTCTGCACTCGAGGCGATCACAGCAAATCATTACTACTAAATTGATATATCTGTCCGATTCAATTTCAATAGAGACGCCCTTATAGTTAAACACGTGTACTATACACCCCCAGATACATTTTAAAGATTAAACAGCACAATTCGATCACATTTAATGGTTGCAATCACAGAAACCCGCTGACCATACTGTTAAACAAATTGAAAGACTTTCTATTTGAAGACTGATATGTCCAAATATATCAATTCGTTATGATAGTTGAAGGTATTATACCACCGTTTTCCACATATTAGTCTTTGTTAAATTGGCCTTTTAAAGAAATATTGTTTAATGAACTTTGTTTAATGTTTAATAAGAACAAGATTGTACTAAACTTAGCTATGAAGATAAATATTTCTAAAGAGTGAACAAAAATTTTGATTTGAAAAACGTGCATATAGCTTGCTGTTCGGTGTGAACCAATGCTCCGTGCTGAAGATCGTACCTTGACCTATAATGGTTTACTTTTATAGATTGTAACTTGGGTGGAGAGTTGTCTCAATGGCACTCATACCACATCTTCCTATATCTATATAATTTGTCTATTAACTCAACAAAAAGCTTAAAACTTTATTGGTTCCAGTATAGAATAATACACAGAATCTAAGGCACAATTATTTTTTTATCTAAATTTAAGATAAAGCAAAGTGATCAAAGAGAGGCGAAAGATACCAAAGGAGTTTAGAAACTCATTAGTCGAATTAAGCCTCTTCACTTTGGCATCTGCTGGTACCAGTCGCTTTCATAACAAGATTTCTACACATAATAGAAGTGTGCATGTGCACATGATTTGAATGTTTTACCTAATCTCAAGATACCAGGACTTTGGATCAAGTCCTTTATTTTTTTACTCAGAATAAAAATAAAAGATAGATCATCATACATAGTGTTAAATTTATAATTCCTTTTGGTGTCTTACAGACAGCGCCACATTTTCAATTTGTACTTCAAGATCACTGTATGTCAAATTTAAAGTATGTGGAACTATACTTAGGCATATGACAGAACAGAGGGGACATCATCCTTAACTAGTTCGTATTATTGTTTTTTGTTCTTGTTGTTGCATATAGCCACATGTATGACTAAATTATCTGTATGAATTTTACAATAGAAAACCATCCTTGTCAAGTGTGTTAAATGTTGTATTTGAAAAAAAAAAATGAGTTGTGTTGTGACCAATTCACTGTTGCCAAAAAACTATTTGTTTTACTATTTGGCTTTTTTTCCGTTATTCAATTATTTATTATTAGGTCTTTCCACTTTTCCGTGGAAAGACCTATTGCTTTTGTTCTGATTATTATCATTAGGTCTTTCAACTTTTCCGTGAAAAGACCTATTGGTTTTGTTCTGATTATTATTTTGTTTTTCTTCCGCCTATTTTTTTTCTTTTGCTGTTTTGTTGTTTCGCAAGATGTCGCTAAGATATTTGGATTATGATATCGAACAGTTTATACGCTTTCAAAACTGACACTGCTTAATCGAATACTTTTCCATGTAAGAGTTATCTTACTTCGCAACCGTATAAGAAACCGACAAATCTGTTTTTCCAAATTGCTCGTTATATCCTCAGGATGTTTTGTTTAATTTTAACCGAATCTGTATAGAGATTCCATATGAAAGTTATTTCCCTTTCTGTATTTGATATAAGTGAAATGTATTTGTTACTGGAAAACCATAGATGATAGAGGCCTAGGGTCATTTGATTTTCTAATTTTCAGAAATCTTATAAGATATCGACAAAATATTTCTACACAATTGTTAGTTGCGATATGTCGATCATATATATCAAAGACCAAGGATCGTTTGATTTGTGATTCATGGTTAATGACCTTGAAATTGAGGTCAAGGTCATAGTTAGATTTGATGTTCTAGATTTTGACCTTTACTTTAACTTCATATTTATACATGCTATAGCCATTGGACTTTTTGCATTTGGTTGCAAGCCATATAACTTTGAAAATTCTAACCGGAAATGACCTTGTGTGAACCGGAAGTAGCTATTTTTTGTGCTTATTTAATGTAAAAGTACATAGAACTATATATTTTTGGTATCAGTTTCAAGTAAACTATCAATTACTACCGGAAGTGACATTTTTCACACCGGAAGTAACAAATTATACTCCTTATTTCAAACGAAAGTGTATAGAAACCATATGTTTTTTAAATCAGCATACAATAAGCTATCATTTGACACTGGAAATGACATTTTAAACTTGATTTTAATATTTTTGTATCAAAAGATCTCCTTTCGGGTGGAAAGACCTTCCATTTGAACAATTGGTTTTTAATTATTTTTTTTTCTTTCTAACACGGGACCTAGGCTATCAATTCCTTTTTCGTGTGTTCCTAGAGGCAAGGTCCCACGTGTTTAAACACGGGAACTAGGCTATCAATTCCCTTTTCGCGTGTTCCTAGAGGCTAGGTCCAAAGTGTTTAAACACGGGAACTAGGCTATCAATTTCCTTTTCGCGTGTGTTTAAACACGGAAACTAGGCTGTCAATTCCTTTTTTGCGTGTTCCTAGTATGCGTTTAACCAACCAACCAACCAACCAATTAACCAATTAACCAATCAATCATTGCATGCATGTTTCGGTTCCATGTGTTTAATACAGGGTCCAAGATCTCATTTGTTTCTTGTTTCAAGAGACCCTATCCCACGCGTTTAACTAGTCAATCAATCATGTTTGATTTATATTTTTCTCTTTTTTTTCTGCATTCTCTAAAATAAGGTCTGTCTTTATTGATCAAAACTACGAAAATATGGGATTCAAAATAGAATAGTAATTCATATTTTCGAAATTTAAATGACTTACAAGTACTAACTAGTTCTATTAAATATATACTTCTAATGTTAAGCAAGACCAGGATGAGGTATCGGTACTTTATATATCCAACGAACAAATGTGAAAATTTTCAAAACGGTATGAAGCAATAAAAAAAAGAATGTATATTTGTTTAAAATTAAGACATACCTGGCATGAATTAAGTTTCATCTGGTCTAATACTTTTGTAAAATTTCGATCAATATTTTGTTGCTTATGACAAAATAACTTGCACTGGAAGTAAAGATTTTTAATTGCAAATGAAATGCAAATTAGCCTAACGAGATTGTCCTGATACTGTGCCCTGTTATGAGCAAATGTGTCCTAATTCTGTGCACCTATATTCTGGTTCTGTGATCACAATTTGTTTCGTAAAAGTTTTAAATATTCGAGAACAATGATGCAGAAAATGTATGTTCATGTGATCGATAGACAAAACTCCTAGCATATATATTTGGAGGAGAAAATTGTCCACATGAGTGATTTGAAATGTACAACAAAAGACAAATGTGATCGATAGACAAAACTCCTAGCATATATATTTGGAGGAGAAAATGGTCCACATGAGTGATTTGAAATGTACAACAAAAGACAAAAGTATTACATATGACAGACAACAACCTACGACAATATACGAAAAACTCAGACTCATGTCACGAACAAGGATATTCAATTTGCTTTCCATCGTAGCTTACTTTTTCTCATGGAATAGCTTTAAAATTCGACTTATCCGTCACTTCTACTTTTTTATTTGGGTTTCAAATAGAAATTACGTCAGCATTACACTTAACAATATGGCATACAGTTTAACATAAAAGACACATTTGTCCACTAAAACCTAATGCATTCGAAAAGAACAAGTGATATAATATGTTGAAAATCAAAATTAAGAGCAAACAAAAAGCCATTGTTTTGGTTCCGAATGGTTAGAATATAACGCTGTATTTTCTGTACTCATTGTTCTTTATTTCGTGACCAACTCAAACAGAGCAGCTTTGGTCATACTCTGTAACTTTTACATATTCATCAGCACAATTCTTCGTTTTCAAATCAATTATTAGTACTCATTATCAATTGCCCTAATCTTAGTAAACGCAATGTTATCAGATTAGAATTAGTCTCCAACGAACATCAGAATCAATATAAATTAAATAAAGTAAGTAAGGCAGCTTTATTGCGCTTGTTTTTAATTGGCCAATGCCTTTTTCGTGTTATTATAGATATGAACAGCATAGATACAATCAGTTCCGACCATTTTAGATTAAATAGACAATCAATGAAAATATCTTTAAAGGGGCACTAGTTGTAGAATTCATGTTCACTGACTTTATTCAAATTCTCGTATTTGATTAATAACCATGTAAAACATTTATTCAAATAATAAAAAGTCTACTATAAACAATTTACAGGGCATGGGCTCGATAATATGTAGCTTCGTTTCGTGTGTATTTTAGTCTTGACGCCATCTAATTAACTATCGAGTTGACCTGCAAACACCTCCGATGGTCATGTACGTGATATAAACATACACATAGATATAAATAGAAATCGAACTCGTGCAATTGGATTTTTCTATGTCTGTTTTATTTCATATTATAGATTAAAAATGTATGTTAATAATTGTTTTTACATGTACCTGTTTAAGAATGAGTTTTTGTGGATCGAATCAGTCAATCAAATGATTTCTCTTTGTTTCACTTTCAATGTTAACATTCTTTTCTTTTAAATATCCGAACACGAACATTTCATGCATTATCAATATCTGGCTATGGGGTTAAATTTCAGTTCACATGAAAACGGATTCAACGAGGTCGAATTATTTACTTGCAAGTGAATAATTTATCATCAATGTCTCATAGCTTAATTTGACACAATTAAAGCATACTGGCTGCTAAAAGCGAATTATTATTTCACTATTTCACTTTCTTTTACAATTGAACAAAAAAAGTTTTATATATCTCGTATCTAGTGTCCCTCACTTGATTTTTGATTTATGATTTAAAATAGATAATGATTTCACTCACGATGTGATTGCAAAATGAATTATAGTAGTAGTCGATTTACAATTGAAAACGATATTCTACTTATGACTAATATTGTTCGTTTCCTATTATTTCCAAATTCGTTTCTTTCTATATGTTGTCTGCTTAAAGATTTAAAGTAATGAAACTCGTTGAACTTAACAGGATTTTCAGAAAACCCGAATATAGTTCTTATAATTGTTTTGTAATGTACATATACATTGTGTAAGAATCCATTTTGAGTTCGTCCAACAGGCTTGTCAGGTACTTCTTGCAAACTCTGTACTTCTTAATCACAGAATAAATCGGCACTAACTGTACACCAAGTCCTGGCATTACTTCCTGAAAATCCTTTAAAAGTTTTATAATATGTTCGTCAGAGAAGTTGTGTTTTAAACCTGGGACATCTTTTGAGCATATGCTGTCTAGTTCAAATACTCTAAAATACATTGTAATTTCATTTCGTATATTACAGTCATAGTTGAACTCGTTGTACTGGTCTTGCCATAATGATGAATGAATATAGTTGAAATACATTGCATGTAAAAATGCCACACGGGGAAGTCTGTCTATTAAATCCTGGTATTTTTTCTGAATAATTTCCTCCGTAAAAGCAGGAATCGAAAACAGAATTGCTTCAAACTTTACCGTTGTTACTTTTTGTTGCATGAATTTAATTAATTTGCACATGTCGCCTACAGATTGTTTTGAATTTGAAATGATAAATACTTGCTCATCATTTAAAACTGGCATGCTTTCTGTTGCTCTGGTAATGGTATCCATGATATCTTTAAGAACTGTCTCTTCATTTTTACCCATTCGTTTACCATTTTCTATGTCTATATCAAGTTTTGTTCTCACAAAGCAGAACGGTATTTTTGCTTTTTGTAGCTGTCCAACCAACCATTCATCTTCGGGTGTTGGAACACTTACAAAAAAAATTATAAACATATCGTACTCTAATATTTTGACTTTTTCAAGAAATTTCTTTCTTGTTATGGTTGTAGTGCCATATCCTGGTACGTCGAAGTATACTATTTGCTTAAAAGTAGGATGTACATATGCTTTAACCTCCAGTGTTGTGTCTCCAAAACCTTCCTTCGCATACCCTTTGTCTCTATAATCAACACCTCTGATCGCATTTATAAATGAAGATTTTCCTGCAGAACTTTGGCCAGCAACTGCAAACTTTACTCTCGCTCTTTTCCATTTCGTTGCTTCCACCATCAGAAATTTTGCAGTGGCAATCACACCATCATTTTTTAGTCGGTTTATTATGTCATTTTCGATATTTCCCCTACTTTCAGTATCGATGATAGTTTCATCTGTGCTTCCTAATAAAAAAAAAATATATAGTATAATATCACAATTACTTCCTCGGTACCAATTGTCGTGGAATGGGGAAGAAATGAAAAAAATACTATATTAATGTTATGCTCCCAAAATGTTTTTTTTCTGGGTTTATCTGTATAAATAAAGCTCAACGCCGAATATATGAAAACCAGTAAGCTGTGAAAACCGAAATAGCTGAAGAGCTAGAAGACCAAAAAATTTACCTCAAATTGTCAAATCCGTTACGGTAAATTTTGCCTTTAGAAGTAAAAACCTTAGATCCATTGTAATTTATAAACCGGCAATTTCAAAAAGGTTTACTATAAATAATGGCAGTACCGATGTTCTGAATACCGAGCTGGTAATACCCTCGGGGAACTTGTATTTTCGTGGGTATTTATTTTCGTTGATTTTCAAAAGACGAATACAAGCCCATAGAAAACGTGCATTTAAAGGAACATCTAACTTCGTGGTTTAACTTTACCAACGAAATCCACGAAGTTGGTATCCAACGTACAAAAGTAGTTTGAACTGAATGAATATGTTGACTCGGTAAATAGGCAGATATCTTAGAAACTATGTACACGTGTACATTTTGTAATTTTTTTTCTTCTCTAAAACTGGACGTTTTTGTATTTTATATATAAGGCTAAACTTGTTTGATGTGGGTGTTAATGGAAAGTCTTTTGTAGAAATTATTAAGTACACGGAGAACAAACTTTTAAAGACTGATATCTATGATAATCTACTTTGGTTATATTGGGAACAGTGTTTTCTTAAACTTAAGGTTTTAACCAGAAACACGTTACATGGAATCATTTTATTAATCCATTTAATGGAAAAGCGTACAATCGAAATTCTAGTCAGTGCATTACAAAATAGTTTATTAAAAGGATCAAATATCTACTGATCGTATTCTTATTGCATGTGTTAATGAACAGGCTCTACAAACAGTATGGGTAATAAATATTATGAAATCCCGTTGGTTATAAGATATGTCCAACTTGCAATGTGCCACATTTAGAGCAGGATCTTAGTACCCTTCCTGAGCACATACGATCGCTCCGATGTTTTGTTTAGTATACTCTTATTTGTCTTTTGTTTGTTTTTCTTTTTTGACTTGGCATTGTCAGTTTGTTTTCGATTAAAGAGTTTGAATTCCCCTTTGGTATCTTTCGCCTCTCTTGACTTCATAAACATGTGAATACCTACCCTTATTTCAGAAATGCCAAAATATATGTTTTCAAAGTGAAAATAATATGTCCTACCATATCAACAATGTACAGTCATATGATTTATATATTTATGTGTTCATTACCGAAGAAAGATTTATATTGGTTGGATAAAATGTGTCTGTAACCAAGTAAAATATGTTTTTACTCGTATATACTTGACAACTTCAGACGGAGGAATAATAGACGGACGAAAAAAGATAATTCCTGTTTGATGCGATTATGTAAAAGTTTAGTGTAGTCAGCCAACATGTCATAACTCATTGGAATTAAAAAGACCATTCAAAACAGTTAATTTTTGAAAACAACCAAAAGGCTTTTTATACTCCAAAAATAATCTTTTCTTTTGCATGATTACGACATTTGGTAATAGTATTTCTAAAAGTTGTCAGTAAATTTGACATATGACATATAATGTAAAGGTCAAAACGCTTCCAGGAAAATAAGACGAGAAGAAAATTAATTAGTGTGTCCTTGAATCAAGTTCATAAAAGAAAGGGACCTTAACATTTAAGAAGAGGCTTGTAACTGGTGTGGATAGAGAATAATTATTTGCTATTTGATTAACAGGGGGGTGCATGGCAGTTATTGCAAACGAATTTATAATTTCATTCTTATGAGCCTTGCAGGATTCAGATCGCACCACACCAAGTTAACGACCGGTGTTCCTGTTGGAAAGAGAAAAAATACTTTCCAAGCACTTGAAGTTTATATGTATCCCTTAAATCAATATGTTTTAACTGTCTATATTCGTGAGGTTGTCAAGTTTTTTTTTTACCATAATTATAATTTAATAGTATTTTACTTAATTACCTGACGGGAAGTTTGTAGTTGACGCTGAAAATTCATGACCTCTTTCTTCATCTGAATCTTTTATTTCTTCTTCAACTGAAATCAAAGATATAAAATACCACAAAATGTATACGATGCACTTTCTATATAAAATTGCATGTTATTGGTTTGAAATGAATAAACAGAAAAATAACATGAAATTTATATATCGTAGTCAGTAGTTAAGTAAAATTATTTATTTTGATGATTTCATGTTGATGTCATATAACTGGTAGAATCTGATAAATGTATTTAAGATCTAGAAAAAAGTAAAATAACAAAAATACCGAACTCCAAGGGAAACTCAAAACGGAAAGTCCGTAGTCAAATGGCAAAATTAAAAGGTCAAACACATTAAACGAATGGATAACAAATGTCATATTCCTGACTAGGAACAGGCATTTACTTGTGTAACAACAAATGATGGATTAAACCTGGTTAAATAGCTAGCTTAATCTCTCACTCGTATGACAGTCGCATAAAATTTCAATATTTTGACAACGATGTATTCAAAGATCTGTAAACAAATTTTCACATAACCTGTTTAAAATATAATAAAATTTCAATTCGTATCAAGGTTTTTGCCAATACTTAATATTCACCTTCGGTCATTGCCGCTTTCATTTGTTCCATGTCATAATCCTTGACAGAACTAAGAAGTAAATTTACAGCTTCCTCTTCATTTCCGTTCTGATTATTGATTCAAATAAAAATAAATTAAAATTACTAATGAGTTAAATAATTGCAATTATTATTACTGTTGTCTGTCGAGTAGTGGACAGAATTGGAGACTATCTAAAACGATATTACAAAATTCGGTACACATATAATAAAATTTTCAATGTCTATTCAACTTAGAAATTGAGAGTTTCATTGATAAGGATATATGCTGGACGCGAATTCCCATAATTTTAGTCCAAGATATCTAGTGATTTTTCTTCTTTTTTTAAGACATCGAACAATCAACTTTATAAAGTTTGACCTATTTTACCGAAAGGACAAAAAAGATATGAAATGATTTGTAACTGTAATACTGCTGTTGTCTGCAAATAAAGGGAATAGTAGTTTACTGTTCGACAATGCAAAAACACTAATATTTAATCATAATATTTATGACTTTTTTTCTTATATTTGATGTATATGCATTTCAAGGTCAAATTGCATACGGATTATATTTTAAAAATATTCGAAGGTTTTTATTCTATATGGTGACTTCTTATATACAAAGTTGTGGCCTCATGTAGGACTCTTATAATCTTATCTGAGTTGATTGTGGTTGTTTTTTCTTTTGCTTGGCAAATCATAGAACATGACATGTAACCAGATTTAAGAAACGACCATTTGATATTCCCGGGGGGGGGGGGGGGGGGGGGGGGGGGGCAGGATGATTTGTTTTGGATCGGTTATTTATTTTTGTAAACTAAGAGGACAGATTATCTATTTTCTGCACTATTGAAGCAAGATTTTTCATTTTCATTAAAGCAAGGGACTGATTATTTATTTTCACAACTATATTTATATATTCGAAAACATACAATTTTAAAATTATTTGTTTATTATAAATGATTCATGTATAGTCAAGTCATTATGTACCATTTAATCAGAATTAATTATTATCCTCTGCAGAAATGAATCTCCTATATTCCCCAATGCATATACATGTATTGCATACATACACAGTATTAAAGTTTGTTTGTAACTAAGGCTCTTTTAAAAGTATTGGCAAACATGTTTTGCCGAGCGGAGCGATGCAAAATTTTTTTTGAAGGGTTTTTGAACCGCTGAAGGCCCAAGAAGCTATAGAACAAATGATGCAAAATCGTGCCTTCTGGATGTTCCCCAGACCCTTTCTTAAACTGAAAATGCAAGTTCTGTTTTAATAATTTTATGACAATATTTTGGTCTCAAAGCAAAATCACGTTATAGATTCAGTGTGAGACTTAAGTTTCTAGGAACAACATCAAAAGACAAATGTGCATGATAAAGCAAAAATGTAATTCACATAGTTAAGTCTGTGGCTGCTGTGTTTTTTTAAACTCATGATCAAGTTAATAATAAAATTACTAAATTACAAAATGAATGCAACACTAACAGAATACAGAAGGGCAATCAATGAACAAAAGACAAATAAATAAGAAACATTGATCCCGAAAAGTCAGGGGCTACGTCTGAGGGAGAACAGAACTTGCTTCTTGCAAGGCACTCACGGTGAACACAATTTGATATGGAGACAAGCGTTTGGTTTTGAAATTTCCTACATGAGGCATTTGTCTCAATGTAGTTACGGCCCTGATTTAATAAAAGTGAGGTAAGTGTTCCTGAGACAATTAACCTCAAGTTAAATGAAACCAATTTTCTGACATTTTAATAGATATAAGAAGATGTGGTATGAATGCCAATGAGACAACTCTCCATCCAAGTCAAAATTTATAAAAGTAAACCATTATAGGTCACAGCAAGTATATTTAAATAAAATTTATACTTTTATTATTAATTTAAAAGATATGGGAAGTGTTTCTCGATTTTTTTTTGGAAAAAAGATGAATTTATGAAGAATCTGGTGCCATCTCATACTTTCGATTAGACCTGCTGAGTTATTTATGTTCAATACATTGCAAGTCAGGTAATTTATTTTCAAACTACAACAGAACAAACCATTTATTTATGTGATTATCAAGGCTGAGTTATTTATTTTCAAAATCCTCCTCCCCCCCCCCCCCCCCCCCCAGAATATCAAATGGTCGTCCCCTTAGTAATCAATAAGCAAGATGAAGAGAAGTACATCGGCACCATTGTCGTTAATCATCGTATTTTTCCTTTTTTGGGGGGTTGCACATTTTTTTTAATTTGTAAACGACTGATTTACGTTTGGCTAAATTATATGTCACTGAAAATACATAGGACATTGGGTAGCAATCATGACACAAATCAGTAACATCACAAATAAAGCAAAGCCATGCGTGTCAAAAAACAATATTTTAAGAAATATTGGGATCACGGGGGTAGTGCAGATCATATAAACTTACGGTGTATTTCAAAGCGCCTATTGCTTGTTCTTTGGTAAATCCAACTGACGTTAATTTCCTTTCTGACTCATGACTTGGTATCACAGATGTTTGTTCTTCACATTGTGGATTCACTTGTGCTTAATTATGAAACAAAGTAAAAGAAATTGTAAAGTATATGTCAATAAGACAGCAACCCAAATACGCACATACACACAGACATGCTAAGGGGTCGTATTGTCGTCAATAATAGACACGTGAATAGACACTAGCTCAACTTCTAAATCGACTCAAAGATATGGTTCCAGATATTAAATATGAACAGGAAGATTAGAATAATGTTTTGAAACTCACGGGTTCAACTTTGTTATTCCAACCAGAAAAACAAAAACGTGTAATAAAAAACCCACCAAAAAGTGGATAGCAAACAAAAAACTAAATGTTAAATAATAGAGTATCCGTAAGATGTTTTATAAAGGAATAATAACTTTTATAAGTGAGGAAGAATGTATGTGGGGATTAGTAAAAATCGTTCATACCAATATTTTGAAGATGTTATAAACAATACACCTTCAGTTAACGTATTTCGTGTACTTTTATGTTGTAAAAATGTATTTTGTAAAATATATAATACTGGTTAGACTATAAGCATGGATATAACTACATTGTACTTTAAACATACATGTCATAGATGGCAATATATATTTTTTTTAATTCATGACAATGTTCTTATTTCACATCATCTTTTTAATGTGTATGTAAAGTAACACTAAAATTTTATAGATTTTAACAGCAAATATAAATAGGGTCTCATGACCAGAGACTAGCAGGTAAAGCTTTTTCTCAATTTTGTTCGCTTAACCACATTTCCCAACCGATTGTGAGAATATTTGTACTCACTAGTGAAATATCTGCTCTCGGGAAATAATAATTCGACATTTAATTATGACGTCAAATTTTCTTGTTTTTTGGAATTTGCTATTGTATCGTCATGCAAAAAGGCGATCATGTATGATGACGACACATGTAAAGAACACAACTTTCTGCAAATCTTTGTAAAAGGATAAAAATAATTAGGGAAACAGATTCAACAACTATAACTTGTGTATTACGATATTTTTACACTCCCAACAGTTAAATTTAAATTATTTGAAAAGCTCGGCAAGCCTTCCGGTTGAAATATTAAAAATGTAACTGACTTGGATGGAGAAATATCGTCACAAACTTCCTGCAGAAGTTGAATCTATATGTGTTTTTTGTTTTTCATTTCCCAAGTATGACTGTAAAACAAAGATTTATTTTGTTCGTAAAAACAAATAAAAATTGAAAAAACTCTTGGAAATTGTAAATTGTTTTAATTTCATGGTTTTTGTTAAGTTCAATTCTAAAATGACTTTGTCTAGATAGAGATAGCAAATCGTCTCAGATTTTGTTACGTAGTTTTGTGTCTCATTTAGAAAATGGGAGTTGATTTCAAGTATCTTTATATTGTTTTTATCTGTCATTCAGATGAGATCTGGACTTGAGGAGATTATTAGCTTTCCTTGATTTGAATACCTGTGCACAATATTGAATTAACGATAATAAAAAAAAACAATCCTTACAGTTTAGTATGGTCATTGCAAAATTACGTTTCAGTGTCAGTTAATAAATTCAAATATCGAACATATTCTAAACCATTAACATTACTTTCTTTTCATTTATCTGTCGCTGTATTGCTAGATATGTCTCCCTGTATTCAATTTACCTTCGGATAATGCTGGTTCTGTTCTTGTCATTGTATCATCATCAGTCGGAAGCCTTAGAAGCCAGTCTACAGCTTTCTCAATATGTCCTCCCTAAATATTGAATGAATGGAAAGTATAAGACTAGGAATACAACCGGAAAGATAAACTTTACTTAGTTTGAAATTTAAAAAAAAATATACATTAATGTATAATTAAATAAAATGTTTCAAGCTGTATTCTCCAATCCATTGACTTCCTCCAGATAATCACGACAAATTATCTTATGTAAGAAAAGTAGTAATAATTACATATATTTTTTTATCCTTATTATTGAAAATAAAAGAAATCAATTCTAAATTTGTATTTATTCAATATTATAAGTTCCTGCAATTATTTGAAGAAAATATGAAAGAGACTAAATTGTGTATAGGAGCTCAATTGCAATAGCATTTCTTGACAGTTAGTTTTTACACAGCATTTCAAAGCGGTCATTGCTTGTTCCCTAGTATATCCCATCGACGTCAATTGGATTATTGATTCATCACTTGGTATATATGAATGTTGGTCTTCGTTTTGTGACATGAGTTGTGCTAAAAAATAAATAATCAGACTTCAAACTGCTACAAAATGTAATATTTATATTTCTATATTCATATACACTGTCTGGCCCAAAATCTGTTTTTATAATATTTAACAATGTTGATTTGTGTTCACTCTAAAAATCGTCATATTTTATCTATCTTCTATGCATAACGATTACATTATAATTGATACGTTATATCAGAACAACATATCAACAAACTATTTGTATATATTATCTCATTGATATCAATCCAATAGAACGTTTCTATCACAAAAATTAAACATACATCGTTCAAAAATATTAAGGTTTCCACAAATATTAAAAAAACCCAAATTTAGATTTGCTGAGTGAGATAAATTATTGAAAGTGACAAAAATGCTACTTTCTTAGAGGTTGAAATGCAAATAGAAATTTTTCGCACTATTTTCTGTATTTAGTGTACAATAATTACACAGATTGCCTTTGAAGCAAACATACGTGTACAAAGACCATTCTGCGTACATGAGATTTTATCATTATGCATTTAGAATGTATTAATTAATATTCTAATTGTTTTTTTTATTATTTGAGAAAATCATATCTACAATGTAATCGTTCCAAGCTCATTTACATTGAAAGACAAATTTTAAAGATAAATGGAATACATTGAATTTTTGAAAGTTATTCTATTATGATTTTCCAATGAATATGGTGTATGTTATTGCAAAAGTGGTTACATTAGATCTTTTTTTATTTATAGAGCTGCATTCTGGCCTATGTTATCATGATGATAATATTGTTTCATTTAAGTGAAGGAATGTTTGTAGACACTGTTTGAACGGGCTTATATTATCCTTATTGTAAATAAATTCTCTAATAAAATTGAGAATGGAAATGGGGAATGTGTCAAAGAGACAATAACCCGACCAAAGAGCAGAAAACAGCCGAAGGCCACCAATGGTCTTCCATGCAGTGAGAAAATCCCGCACCCGGAGGCTTCTAAACAAAAATGTATACAAGTGATAATGGGCGTTATACTAAACTCTGAAATATATAAAAGAAACTAAAATTAAAAATCATACAAGACTAACAAAGGCCAGAGGCTCCTGACTTGGGACAGGCGCAAAAGTGCAGCGGGGTTAAACATGTTTTTTTTTAATCTCAACCCTCCCCTATACCTGTAGCCAATGTAGAAAAACAAACACACAACAATACGCACAGTAAAACTCAGTTTTGAAGAAGTCCGAGTCTGATGTCAGAATAGGTAACAAAAGAAACTAAACAAAATGACAATGATACATAAATAAACAAAGGACTACTAGCAGTTACTAACATGCCAGCTCTAGACCTCAAATAAACTGATTGAAAGATTGTGTCTTCATCATATGCATATCAAGATCCAAACCTCCCGTTATCGGTTAAGTATTATACCATCATAAAATATATGAGAAGAACATTACCCGTTTTATGCCAACAACTGGTCTTAGAATAAATGTGTTTATTTCCAATGCAAAGACCCTATAAGTGAATCAATATTAAAGCCAAAATATGCAATCTTTAATGACCTGACAACAGTATCGTAACTATATCCCTTCTTAATAAGTCTGTTTCAAGGTTTTGTTAGCTTTTGAGGTGAATGCCGACATTTTTGTACTTTATAAAGAATATTACCATAAAAAACTGTTTCATGTTTCAATCTTTATTAAATCATAACTTTCATTATTATCTTGGACCAAAATAAGGCATATTGTTTTATACACTAAATATAGTTTAGCTTCACGTTATTGTTTATACATCAAACCTTCTTACCATTGATAAAATATTTTGATAAAGTTTTAGTTAAGAGGTATTACAAAAAGTTAAGACAAAGGTATGTATTTTAATAGATACTGAAGAGAATTTTTTGTAGGATCCATTTTTGATATTAATAGGATAAAAGTTCTCAATTGTTTTGTAGGGACTGGAACTATGTGAATTCCTATTGATTTATCGTTATTATTATTAATCTGACCATGACTACCTCCCCTTCCTCTGATAGGCCACGTTGATATTGTAAAGGTCAATAATTGCAAAAGGGACAAGGAAATAACCATTAAACTTACTGTTTTCCCTGATAACATCATGAATAGGGCAGATAAAGTGTGTCCAAGTTAACAAAAGCAAACGCTTTTGTCCTGCTTTTCTGTGGCAACATCCTGAGCATTTTTTGGATTTTGAGGTTTTGCTTGTTGACAATGTGATAACTCTTTGAACTATCTTCCCTTATGTTTTGATATTCATTAATTTGAAAGAGTTTGATAATTTTGAAATGTACTTCCTTTTTTGCTTTCAAGATGCATTTTTTAGCTTTCTTTACATATACATACTTGTTGACAGCTTAAATTCCCTTCTTCTTGTCCTTCTGTTTTCATAAACAGGGATACCGAGAATCCTATGTATAGCTTTTTCTACATTATGTTCCTAAATTAAAAAAATACAAAAACCAACGTTTATTGTTTCAAAATGAAATTAAAAGTATATTATAAGTAGCAATTAATCAACTATGATAGTGCATACACTCGCATCTATATACATATATTATGATCCTTGATTTAAAACCTAGATTAATATTATGATTTCCATGTGTACACATTGATCTCAATATTTAAGAATTGGATTCGATATTGTCTTGACGTTTCCATTATGAGATAGTGATAAATATACCGACTGCGAATTACAAAAGTATCTGTGTTTGGTGTATACAGACACAGAAAGAAAAATAAAACGTTAGAGTCAAAGAATTATTCACATTTTTACTTTAAAAAAGAAAATTGGAAAGACTAATCGTCTACCCAAACTTTGTGAAAGTTTCAATGATAAACAAAACTATGAATCAATAGTTATGGTGTTTCTTGTAAACCAAAGGAAGTAACTCAAATGGTTATCAAAGGTATTCTTAGATTATAAGGGTATTGGTTTTGCTCATTGTCTTTCGTGTATCAATTGTTAACCTTTTAGAACTGGAAGCCTGTAAAAGAGCAAGGCTATGATAACGTCCTTAAATGTACTTATTTATGATAAACTTACAGTATTTTCCAAAGCTTCTATTGCTTGTTCCCTAGTAAATCCCATTGACGTTAATGTCATTACTGCTTCATTTGGTGGGAAAGAATTATCTGGCTCTCCACATTGCACTGAAAATATATGAACTTCGAAAGTAGGTTTTTCCCTGACAGTCATGATAGATTTTCCTTAACTAGTTGTCTTACACAGAAAATATCTAAATATTCAGTTCGTAAGTATTTCTTTACACAATGTCTGTAACCTAGTTGAATTTGAAAATAAAATCCTGAAATATAATGTTTAATCGTATTCAAATGATATACTTACATGTTTCGGAAATCTATATCAATTGTTGCGCTATGTTACAAAGGCATAAACGAAGTGTTACAACTTGAGATTTCATCCCGTGGGTATTTTCCATAACAATCGTATTTTTTTTCTAGATGTAGGATTTAATTGCAAAGCATGTTTATTGAATCCTAAACTGGTCAACAAGAATAGACTAGCAAATGTGGCAGAACGTAATTCATTTATAACAATATCTCACAGTATAAGAAAAGAAACTCTAAAATATAAGAGATTGAGAAAACGTATCTTATTTGTGAGGTGCGTGGATATTCCTTAATTGTGCAAAGTGATGCGCGGGGGAAAAATTAAACGTGTCCTTAAGCAAAAGTAATACGTTGTTTATATTCAAAATGATCCTTTTGTCCTAATAATGTAAAAGGAAAGACTGGTTTTTTACTTACATTTATACTTTCTTACTTTGAGGTTTGAAATTACCAATGAAAACCGATTTCAAACATAATGCACAATATTGATAAGATATTTTGAATAATTTACTCCAAAACCTTAATCTCGTACAGACTTGCGTATGTACATGTCTTTAACGTAAAACATACTAGTAATTCAAAACAGGACAATATTTTACGTCTTTTTTTTTCTGCATACTACTGCGATATAATGCTGACACTATTTTGATATCCATTTTAAAACCTTTAGGACTATATTAATAGACAAACAGTATTGTTTGTCAACTAAAATCGATAGAAGACATTTATTTCTAAGCGCTGATATGCTTGGATGATAAATGTCTTCCATTTTTCTTATTTTGTTGATTACTGTACGTTTTGCACAATAACACTATGTAAGAACATGTGACATCCGAACTTTTTACAATTGAATTATAATCTTTTATTAAACTGTTTTTCTTTTTTTTTACTTGTTTTGTATCTGCTAGTATTTTCCAGATCCACTGGGTATTTTTAGAAACAAACAAGGACACACTCAGAATATCCCAGATAGGTGATAATACGGTCTTCACAAACCAGTTGGTTTATTTTTAATTATTCAGTACTTTTAGTACTTTAGATTTTGTCAAATATATTAAACCTATCAAATAAAATTTTAATTATCCAGTTAATTCATAAGAGAATACTTTGTTTTACATTTAACTGTTACTATTACATCTGATGAACCAAACATTCCTCCGCAATACTGTCCTCGTTGTTTTGTAAAATGTTATTTTCGGGTTTTAATTTTTTTACAACTAATTATTAATTAATTTAAACAAATCATTGTTTTAATACAATTAAAACTTCTTTTCAATTTTACCGAATAAGTGTTGTGACGCCTTTTATATTTTATATAAGAAATGATAGCAGATAACCTATTGATGTTCTCAACTTGTATCGTGTTTGTTTCAATGGTCATTTCATTCAAAGTTCTACCAATTTAGACGGGCCATTTTCTTTATTAAGAGTACCGAAAAAGAGGGTCAAACGATACCAGAAGGATCTTCAAACTCATAAGTCGAAAATAAACTGACAACGCCATTGCTAAAACACAACATAGAACAGTAAACAGTAAAAACTAAGCATCAAGAACCCCACGAGAAACTGGGGTGATCGCAGGTGCTTCGGAAGGACAAGCAAATCCTGCTACACATTTTGCACCCGTCGTATTTCTCATGTTAGTACAAACCTGGTAACAAGTCTTATTTTGTAGTTGATATTCGTGAAAAGGGACGTGATTGTAGTAACGACATTATGAATGTATTCGCTATCATCTGTGAAACGGATATTCCGGTCGACCAACTCGTGATGGCGTCCGTAAAATTTACGAAGGGATGCTTTCAACATAACCATTTTCATCTGTTGTTCTAATAGCTTCCATGTGAGCAGCAACATTCTATCAAGGAAATCATGACAGGAAACACAAGCCCTGGAATATCGTATCAATTTGGATATATATGCTCCGTATGCAGGCGCTGCTGGAATGTTGCCACATAAAAATGGACAGTTCACAATTGGGAGGCTGAAATCATCTCTTTTGTCGGAAAGTCCTTTTTCAACCGACTCTCATTGTTAATTTCAAGATGTTAGTCAACATATCAGACAGACTTAACTGAATCTGTTGTGTCTTTTATCACAAGATCGCTGGGATAGATGATTTTAACATAGTTACAAAATTTTCAACTATTTTACCTGCTATATAATCAGGGTTTTCACTACCACAGTTTTCGCAAAATTTAATTTCAACATTTAGAAATGCAGAGCATGGATTTCCTTTTATTTTCCCAATGCACGGCGCTCCAATCTTATACCCACAGTTATTGCAAAACTTCTGATGTTTGTGTATGTCGTGTCCACAGCTCTTGCAACTTTTATTCAGCGGAGCTCTTTTTTTCTCTGAAAACAATGTGTACATAGTTTGGGATGACCAATGTATCTATACTATAGATAATATAAATAATATAACAATTTAAAACTTGAAAATAAGGGCAGTTATTACATAGGTGATCATTATGAGTCATTAAATCCATATTTGGTATCTAGTGGCTTATTACAGTAATTAAGTCTTCACTATTAAGAACCTAATTTCACTGATGTATACACACATTAATGCAAACAATACCAATTTAGGATCAAGACACTACTACTAACTGTGTTTTTCAAGTAAATCACATCCAATTAACTGTGTATTAAGAATGAAACACGTCAACTGACCTGATAATAAATAAATAAATCAGGCAAGAAGTCGGAAGATAAAACTAACTCACCTCGTTACTTGTATCTTACCTTCGACAAACAATCTAAATTGCAATCATTATCATTATATATATTTTTACATAATCAATAAAAATCGTGAAGTAGTTGATTAAATCATTTGACTTTATCATATATATATTGCATAACATATAAAATTACAAAAGAAGAAAGTAGACACAAATAGAATTACAGGCAATTAAGCAATATTATGTAATGCTTTTTACGAAATTTGTTTACCTGATTTTTTTTCAAAGTTTGCTGTCCCGCAGTGTGCACAGAAATTGGTTTCAACACTGATAAACTTTGAGCATGGTTTTCCATTTATTTCACCAATGCAAACAGATCCAAGCTTATTACCACACTTGTCACAAAACATTTGATCCTTCTGTATGGTATTTCCACAGTTCTTACATCGTTCTTTAACAGTTGTGTTTGTTGACACTGAAAAACCAACCAAATACATACTTTCACGAGTTCATAATAGTAATGTTTATTGTGTTAACGTGATAAGTATTATCTTCAAACTTTCTATATAAAAGATCAGAAGGCATTTGAAACACTTTTTAATTTTCATGTAGGTGTTAATTGTCTCACCGACCTTTCGGAATATCTCCATTAATTTCTATTTTTAAAGTTAAATATTGACTCTTTACAGTTTTATCTTCCTGTCTTTGATGAAATAGCTGGGAGTCCATTATTAATATTTTACATGCAATGCCGGCGTATGTTCTTTCTATTCAGCATTGTATATGTTATATACTGAAAAGAGTCGAATCGATGTTTGTGTTTTTATTATTTCATGATAAACACAGCTAGTAATGTCACTTTGAAAAACTATTATTCCTGGAACTTTTCTTAGAGAAATACAATAGCGTATGTTCAATTTAGAACCTTCATAAATATGGCATAACTAGATTATTCAGTGGGGATTCAAAATGTTATATTCAATTTGTTTATTTTGTTACTTTCTTGTTGTCCAATACAAAATGAAAGAGTTCCACTCATACAGTTCACTTTTGTGATATATAATTATACATTCAAATATAATGAATACAGTGATAAAGAATGAATTCACGATCCAAACTTGTCAGTCATAGTCGAATACTTTTGCCCCATATTCAAGCTCGAACGGCTAGGACATCATCCTGCAATGTGTAATTATTTTTTGAAATACATTATAGGTCTAGAATATTTGCTTTATTGATTGATAGTGGTGTCCTTCTAAAATATTTCAAATGGCTGAAGCTCAATTTCTAGCTTAACTGTCTGACATATTGTATCCTTTATTCCACTTTCTAACACATACTTTTCATTTGGATGATTATCTTGAGTTCTTTAGAATTCGGATTTTCCTAATTCAAAACGTTCATTGAAAAAACCAAACGTATAGATTTATGGGGTATATTTTTTCAAACTATAATTTGAGAACAAATCGAAATTTAGATCGATTTAGTCATGTTCAAAGCATGAGCAATGATTAAAATGAAACGATCGCGAGGTTTACTTGGTATAAACACAATAGTAAATAAAGGCAACAGTAGTATACCGCTGTTCGAAATTCATAAATCGATTAAGAAAAAACAAATCCGGGTTACAAACTAAAACTGAGGGAAACACATCAAATATAAGAGGAGAACAAAGACACAACAGAAACACTCAAATGCAACACACACAGAAACGAACTAAAAGACAACAATAGCCATTTTAATAAAATAATGATTTACCATCGAACGCTTGAGATGTGTTGAGTTGTTCATAAAAATCCCATTTCTCATTCCCATTGTCATCGTCTTGGCTTTCACTGGAATCACTTTCTCTTGTGCTTTTACTATCTGATTCCCATAAGGATTGAGCTTAAAATGGTATACAAAATAACTGTACTTTTTCATTCCTTGTTTTGTATTTCGCACGTTTAGATTTTTGTTTTAAATATTTGTTTAGGGGTATGCTATTTAATGCTGACTTGATGAATATAAATAAAACAACTTTAATATCATATATTTGAATAATTTGTTTCATAGTTTATCAAATTGCTTGTTCGATAAATTATGAGAATTACACTACGACTAGTTGTAATACTTTTTCAATTGTCAAAATGGTGCAAACAAAAATATACAGGAGAATTGTCAGCTTTAGAATAGCCTTAAATCTTTCCGTTGCAAAAACAACAAAAAATAACTTATATTACTGTTTAAAGAACTTTAATTTTTCATGAAAAGCTACTGCATAACATATTTTGCAGGAACGGATTAAGATAACAAATGACTCTTCACTGATTCTTGGGGCCAAACTATTTTAAATCAAAACTATAATTCAAACATTGGATAAACTGTTATCACAGAGATATGTCTCGCATTTTTGTTATGTTGATAATGCAACTGTTGAAATCAAAATAGCAATAGATTAACATGTAAGTTTTGCAAATATTCAAAGTCGATAAACCATGACTGAAGGTACATGGCTAAACAATCTCCATGGAAATGAGATGAGCCGACGCTGATACAACTGCATACCTAATACCAGTGACTTATGAGAATTTGTTCCCTTTAAACAAAACCTAAACACAAACATTAACTTGTAAACTATGTACAAGTTTCAAAGTCAATGAACCATGATGAGGGGGTGGGGCTATAGGTTAACACCACCATTGATTTTCCCCTATTAGTCTTTGTTAAATTTGCACTTTTCAAAAAATTATGCAGAATTTATCTTTGTTTCATATTAAGAAATACTTAGCATGAGTAAAGTGTTATCCTGTCCAGTACTATAGAAAAAATTTCACATAACATTTCATTGCATACAAGAAAATAACCATCACTGGAAGTTAACCAATCAAATTTTCCCCCTTTTTTAACCTGTGTACAAACTTTAGTAACCATGTAACCTCAAGTTCCAAAATATTCTATAGAAACCCCAAATAAAAAAATAATGGTGCTTTGAAATACCCAAGATATATGTTTATGACCCAGAAATGTTTTACTGCAATGAAATGTAGGATCAATTACCTACAACTGTCAAATTCAAGGGAATTTTTTTTTTCGACCTATTTTCGTATGCAACCGGATGTGACGTACTATGATTTGGTGGTATTACACCTATATATTCTCCATGGAAACGATACTTGTATATGCTAATAAATTTATATACCAAATATCATTGACTTAAAATTAGCAGTTAATATTAAACTGATCTTATCACAAACTAATACATGTAAACTAAGCAAAAGTTTCAAGGTCAATAGATCATGACTGAGAGGGCGGGGCCAAATATTCTCCATGGAACTTAGATGTGCTTATGATTATACAACTGCATACCAATAACATTGGCCTACCACTAATGGTTCCCCTTGAACTGACCTAATCACAAACTAATACATGTAAACAAAGCAAAATTTTCAAAGTCAACAGACCATGACTAAGGGGGTGGAACCAAATAATCTCCATGGAAATGAGATATGCCATTGCTTATACAACTGCATGCTAAATATCATTGACCTACCACTAGTGGTTCCCCATACACAAGAATATTGAAAGGATGATAGACAGCGTGATTTTTATTATATTTTTTAACACATTTTTGCTATCATAGATTACTTTTAAATTCAACCAATTTAAATAAAAATAATAAGATGTGGTTTGATGTGGTTTGGTTGTTAGTGAGATAAATCTGACGTAGAAGTAATCATCTGTATGTAACTATGCGGCCTTCAACCATGTTTAAACAATACTGCACAGCAAGCTATAAGGGACCAGGACAAAAACAAATATAAAATAATGCAAACTATATCTTACGGCCTGATTTATGTACACAACATTAATATTAAACGAGAAACAAATATCATATACAGCAACATACGACAACAGTTGAATTACAGGCTCCTGACTTGGGACAGGCAACTACGAAATGTGGCAGTGATAAATGTTCACTGGCGCTAAACCTTCCCCCTACCATTGGACAGTGGTGTAATAGGTAAACATAATGACAAACTATTAAAATGAGTCAAAAAAAATTAGCTGGTTGGCAAGAGTTGTACTCCAGTCAGGTTAATATGTTTTCCGCAAGTCAGATGAAACATAATGTTTGGATGAATAAAAAAATCATGTTTGAGTAATCAAATATGAACTGCTCAACATATATGATTATCATGTGAAGAAACCAATGATATATACTAGGCTTATTATTTTGTACCGCAGAAGCGTGTTTCGTCTACAAAAAGCTTATCAGTGACGCTCGAATCAAAATAATTGGACGGTCAAATCCAATAGATATTTAACAGACATAAAAATAGAAATTAATCTTATGCCATGTAAAATTGTACCTGTAACAATATCAGCGTTTTGAGATTCACAATCTGAACAGAATGCAGCTTCTTTACTGATTAATTTGGGACAACGTTTTCCATCTTTTGTTCCCGTGCATCTACTGTAGTGTCGATTCATTGCTTTACAAGACAGCTCAACACAATTTCTTTTCAACAAGTCGGCAATATTATTTTTTTACTGGAAGATATAAATGTATCATAAATACATAATGTGGAACAGTTCTTTTTGGGGATAAACTTCTTTACTATTTGTATTTAATATTCTTGCTTCAAATTAACTATTAGTTCAAAATTTGCAGCTAATTTTGTGACGCATCGTTGAAGTTTAAAACAAATGAGCGATTGCGGTGTACATGTGTATTCTCGAGATGTCTTTAACTCGTTGGGTGACTGTCTCTTTCATATTTAAACAACATCTTCTTGTTATGTATACATCAGCTTCAATTTTATTATTTTTATGTTCAATTATTATTTCTATAGATACAGATAGTCCATCCTAGCAATACATATACACGAGAGTAACACATACCTTCTGTAATCGTTAAATAGAACATAAATTTGTATTTATACCTGTGTTTCTTATTATAGTGTTTGTTGACACTTGATTGGGCAATATAGTATGTTATTAAATTATAGTTGATACTATTCTATATTATCATATTCTATTCATTAAATTGTTTTCAATGCATAGAAAAAAACGTTAATATATATATATATATATATGACACATTTTTCTTACCTTTATATTCATTTCGATATGGTGGCATTTTTACTGTTAGTGTGCGTTTTATGTCAATTGACAACTAAAGATATCGTTTACGTAACCAATCTTTTATCATGAATAGATAACCTATTTTGCTATCGGAACACTCATATATACTGACGGACTTTAAAAATGCAACACAAGATTATTCTTTTTTATTCACATTTTCAAATAGACAATTTTTCTAAAACGAATGTATTAACATATATTTCATTCATTTCTTAATTGTCTGAAAAAAAGTTTGCAGTTCAAAAGATAAACTAATGACGCAATTTTTAAAGTTTAAATCATGTGGTATACACTGTAATTCTATTTCCTCCTTTTCAATGGATATGTTCCCGTCGAAGG